CTTTCCCTAAAGTAACTTAGCATCCTGTTTTATTTACTGTGATGGAAAGTAACTAAATACATTTACTCAAGTACTCTAGGCTAAGTAGCATACAGTTTTGAGGTAGTGTAGCTATTTGTAGAATATATATAGATTTTTTTATTACTTAATATTTCTACATTTAAGAAGTGTTGGAAGAAGTATTCAGATCCAAAGTATAAAAGTACTCTGTTACAAATAAAAGCCCTGCATTCAGAATTTTACTTAAGTAGAAGTACAAAAGGAATTAACATCAGAAATACTTGAAGTACCAAAAGTAAAAATATTGATTTGGTCATGACATGACAGTGTGTCTTTATGTGGTTCTTAAACTTTATTATGAGTCAAACCACTAATATGATGAATTTTCTCAGAGCTACAAACATGATAATCACTCGGAATTTACTGTGACCAAGTCTTTAAGTCCAGACTTGAAATCTGGACCTGAAACCGGACTGTGAACACATATCTTTCAAACACCTGGAGACGAGTCTTCTTTTTGTGATTTAATATTTAACATTTTGTAGATGCATATTAGTGCAAATAAATGCTTTTTTCTTCACTTCCCATCCAGCAAAAGGGAGGATTATTCAAAGGGATATTTAAGAGATCCTCTAAGTTGCCGGAACCATCTGCTCAGGCACAGGTAATGTTGTTTTAATGTCTCCTTATTTAATTTAAATTACAGTGAGTGAAAGGGCAGTGTATAAAGTGATTTGATCAGTTTGTCACAAATACACACATACAATATCAGTGTATTATATTAGTATGACAAGTTGGACTGTATGTGGCCAGTGTTATAAATCAGTAGTTTGATTACATTGTTTTTAGGTTGTTTTTTTTTCCTTTTCAGTCACAAATACCAAATATTCTTTTAGCATAAACTTCGTTTTCCTTTGTGGTATGTGGTAGTAAAGTGAACATCTTTGGGTTTTGGCTTGATGTTTGGACAAAACAATTATAAACAGTTTCACATTTTTAGACTATGGGTTAATTAGTTAAATGAGAAAATAATCTGCAGATTAATTTATAATGGAATTAGCCGTTAGACGCGGCCCTAATTAAAACAGTGAATTATTAACCTGCTCTGTCCATCACAAGAAAGACACGATCGCATCAGGCACAGCAATAGAAATGGTTAAAAGTGTCCCCATGTGATAAGTAAAATTCTTTGAATCTAAAATGCATAAAGATCTGAAGGAAACCATGAATTGTAATTCAATGTTTATTTTGCATACAAATTGTCGAATATATTAACTGAAGTCAGTGTTAGAATATAACATTTATATTAAAATAGGTAGAACTTAATGTGCTACACAACTTGCTTGTTCGTGCCACTGTTGTGTTTACACTCTGGTGTTTACATCAGGCTGTGGCCGATTCTGAAATGCTGAAAGAAGAAGACAAGACTTCATCCAAAGAGGAAAAGAAAGAGGAGCAGGCCAAGCACAAGTCAGAGGAGGTCTTTTAACTAATTTCTTGCTAATCCTGTTGATTTAACATTTCCTGGTTTGATTTGACAATGATAACAAGCAGTAACAAATATATTTTCCTCATAGTAACATTGCAATCCTGTTATTTTTAGACCAAAGTCAAGAAACCCAAGAGACGCAATCCCTTCATGCCTCAAGTCAAGGTAACATTCAGCATGTGACTTTTCCTCCCTTGTGGATGATAGCTGCTTGTTAAACACCCAGTGCCTTAACACATCAACCAAATGTTTGTATACCTGCAGTTAGGGCTCCTTAAACAGTTCACATCTTTGGAGGCAATGGTTTAATCACACCTTCCTTCCGTCCGTCATGTCCTTCCATCCTACACACAAAAGCAGTCAGATTTGTGCCACTCTTTTTTAGTAGACAATTGTGTCTACAGGTCACTGATCTGGGTGGACTGATCCAGACCTACAGTATGTCATACCGCTGTACATGTAACAGTCATGAAATGATTTCTCCAACTCATCCTCCAGTTTCAGGGATTCAGTGCTTGTTGCTAGTTAAGTTCATTAATAGATTATTGAACATGGAGCCATCGGTTGCGTTGGCTGCCTCGGTTCTGTACCGGAAACAAATTCCTTGTGTGTAATATACTTGGCCAATAAAGTTGATTATCCTTATAGAACATATCATCATCATCAACTTTATTTATATAGCACATTTATCCCAGCCATAGCTGCCCAAAGTGCTTAACACAGTGACACATCACAGCTGTATTAAAATCAAAACACATAGAAACAACACAATAAAATACACCGGCAATAACATAATAACAATAAACAAAACAAATTACCAACACCAGTGACGAGGCCTGCCTAAAGTGGAGAGGCAATGCATTCCACAGTTTAGGGGCCCCCGCTGCAAACGCTCTGTCCCCCCTAAGTCTTCGGTTCGTTTGCTGAACCTCCAAGAGCAGCTGATCAGCTGATCTGAGGTGCCGCAAAGGACAATAGGGGTGCAGTAGCTCTGACACATAAGGTGGTGCCAGTCCATTTACAGCCTTATATTCAAATAAAAGAATCTTAAAATGAATTCTAAGATGCACTGGTAACCAGTGCAGAGAAGCCAAAACGGGCGTTATATGCTCCCTTTTTCTCCCACCAACCAGCAGTCGAGCAGCCGCATTCTGAATCTTCTGTAGGCGATCGAGAGACCTCTGATTAACCCCAAAATAAAGCGAGTTACAGTAATCTAAGCGAGATGTTATAAAAGCAATTACAGGTGCTTTAACAGCGTGTGTTGTGTCCACTGATTTCAGCCAAAAATTGTACAGAAGTGTGGACAGGATGGAGCTGCAGGCAACACGGCAGAGGTAAAGAAAATAAAATGCTCATCGGTCCTTTTCTGAATGAGACAAATAATTGTATTTGTTGTTGGTTCTCTTTTTCACCCACCTTCCACACATACAGAACTTACAAACTTAAAGCTACCTTTCCCTCCCAGTGTGTCAGTAGATTTGTTCACCAGCCACAGACTGTTGTGACATGAACCCTCCCTCCACCTGCACACCACCACACTGCGTTTCTGCATGGATGCACATCCTTTTTCAATATGTACATGAAAGATTTTGGCTATTTTTTACTTCTGCAAAAATAGCAGAAATAAGTCAGTACACTCAGAATCCCTTTGGTCATCACTTCCTAATCTAAGCACATACAATATAAAAAGTGAAACTGAGACTGTATGGTTGTGATTTCAAAGTGTCTCAGTCTTGTCTGGTGTTATATAGTGTATGGTTTTTAAGCTGTGCTGCTTTATTTCTGTTGTCTCAGAATGAAGGTGGAAGCAGGCCCTTGTTTGAGCAGCTGAATGACTTCTGTACATCCCCAGAGCAGCCTGAGGATGGTCAGGTTGGTCACTGAAGCAAAGTGCTGTCATCACATTTACATTCCAGTGTAGTCTGACACTTTAATATTCACTGCTTGTATAGTAATAATAAACATGCAGACACGCTCACAATCTACTTGTGTCTTTCAGCGTGTGGAGAATGTCATGGAGTGGTGGAAAACAGTGGAGTGTAAGTTAGAAATATGTTTTGTTTTTTTTTGTTTGTTTTGAACCACATAACATTGTGGCAGCCAAAAGTATGCAGACGGCAGCTTGAGCGCTCTCCATCTTCAACATGACATTACCTCCATGTACAAAACGAGCTCAATAAAGAAATGGTTTTCCCAGTTTTATGTAGAAGAATCTCACTGGCATGCACGAGAACCACTTTGGGATTAATTGGATTGCTGATCCAGGTCTTGTTGCCCAATCATCAGCAGTGCTCTGGATCACTAATGCTCGTGTGGCTGAAAGGAACCAAAGCCCTTTAATCAGGTTCCAAAATCAGTTGACGACGTACCCACACGCTGTTATAGCAGATTAATGTTTGGCTGTCTACATTCTTTTGGCCATCTAATGTGCACACTATAATGGAAAAGTTGATGCTTATTCTCTTTTACTTTTACTTCCTCAGCATGGGAAGACACACCTCAAGATGATGACATGACAGAAAAAGAAGAGGCCAAGTAAGTGGAGGCTCAGATACTGTAGGTGTTAAAGGATAAGGCCTGTTATTTTCTATATTAATAATATTTCCAGCAAACTTCATACAAACACACCGCTGCACTGGGTGACAGGTGTTTTCATGACAAAATCCCAGACCCGACTATGTTGCCCCATGGTCTCGGAGCAAATTTCCTGAAGTTAACACTAGTCAGAATCAACTGCACATGTGCTAGGTCTTGCATGGGCTCACTGCTTTCTTTACATTCCTCTAGCTCTTCACACTCGGGTCTGGTTAAAAATACTGTTTATGGAAAATGGCCGTCCATATCCTTTAAAGCAATATTTCAGTCTATTTCACTCACTTCTGGTTTTAATTAGCAATACAGACAGATGGGTTTTATCTATCTGGGTTTTGAGATATCCACATCTAAAACATGAGCACAGAGTTTCATTTGTGCTGCACAAAAGCTGAAAAATGACATCTGAACTCAGTCAAACAGTCTGAGGAACAATGCCAAAGTTACTCTGAATAATCCAATGAGTGACCAGGACATTGCTTCTTTTTAAATATGTTTTTTCAGTGTTTTGACCAGCAGGCAAAAATGTATTAACCTCCATTTTATTGTAGAGCAAACTGAAATCTCAAAGCTGGATATCTCAAACTTGGACAAATAAAACTACTATTATTGTCGTGGATATGTACCACTGATAGTAAGTGAGAAAAAAGGAACAAAGGCACAGTGTTCAAGGTCTATGTGGCTATTGTCAACTTCCTCCTCTCAGGGCTTTTGCTTTGACGGCTGAGAAGGTGCAGAAGGGCATCCGTGTCTTCAACAAGTTGTTCATCAAGCATGCTGAGAGCTTGTGGCAGCACATCATCGACCTCAACAGCATTGCAGATGGCCTAGACAAGTTCAACAAGAAAACAAAGATCGCTCAAATCACCGGCGGCTCCACCAGCGCCATTGGGGGCATAACCACAATTACCGGCCTTGCCTTAGCCCCTGTAACCATGGGAACCTCTCTGATTGTGACAGCAGTGGGGCTGGGTGTGGCCACAGCAGGCGGGCTGACATCAGCAGGTGCTGGCATCTCCAACCAGGTCAACAATTCAATGGACCGCAAAAAGGTGGAGAGGCTCGTGGAGGACTACCAGGGAAAGATGGTCGACCTCAACAAGTGCCTGAAATTCATCCAGCACGGCATCGAAAACCTGCGCAAGTTTGACTTGATCAAGTTGAAAAGCCATGTGTATAATCATGAATTCCCTGCACTTACTAGCAGCTTCTATGAGGATGGCGCCATGGCAGGAAAGACTATCTTAACCAACACCAACGAGATCATGCGTGTGGTGCAGATTGCCCACGTGGCCGGAACCACAGCAGCCAGAGCGCTCCAGATTGCCAGCATGGCCACTGGTGTGCTGACTGGATTCTTTGTAGGTATGGACATCTACTTTGTGGCGAAAGACTCCAAACAACTCAAGAAAGGAGCGAAATCAGAGTTTGCTACGAAAATCAGGGAGGTGGTCACTCAGCTGCATGATGGTCTGGTGGAGCTGAACGCTATACGAGAAGAGCTGCAGTCCATCACACCAGAAAACAGGCATACAGCTGCTATAGATACTGATAAGAAACAGAAATATGACAAATATGATAGTTGATGAAAATGAAGTCGACTGCATTAAAGAAGCCATCAAAAACACACCGAGAGCCAAGAATGTGTTTGACTAATTCTTCAAGTCCAGGTAGGGTAGAAATAAATATGATGAATAACTGTTTAGTGGTCCCACTACATAGTTCTCAGTCTTTTCACATTCAGCAGCTGTTTTCTAACCTGTATAATGCGTTTGGAAGTAAATCACTGATTTTTTGCTTTACCCAGACTTTAAACTGTGCTTTAATCATTTAGTTTTAAAAGGAAGAATTGTCAGTTCCCCAGTTTCCTTTGCAGAAGGGCTTCTGAACATACTGGCCCAAAAACTAATAGGTGCCCCAGTAGCTGAATGGTCAGCATGGTAAACCATATGCCAGGCACAGTGTGCGCGTGCGGTTCGAGTCTGGCTACGGACCTTGGTCGCAGACCTCCCTTTCTATCTCTCCCTCGTTTCCTGTCCTATTAGGAGAATTCACACTTGATGAAATACACAAGTTTGCAAAACCTCTAAATTTTTCTTTTAGGGAACTGATTTCTTCAAACATGACTCACACTATTGGGAATGTTTGCAGTACATAAAGTATCATATTTGCTTCTCTGGCAGTTGTGTCAGTATGTGAAACTGCAAGCTCTGCTGTCAGCTCTGTGGTCTGTTAAAAGGACCTCATATTTATTTTTTGTCTTGCTCTGGGTGGAGTTCATTCACTGATACCTTTTATGTGCAGCATATTGTAGAACTCCATGTGTAATAAATGTAAACATGAAATTTATTCTTTGAAGATCAGAGAAACTTTGGTCAATCTGTGCATATAAAAAGCAAGAAAACTTTTGCCTCCTTCTGCCAACTACTGTGCACCTACTAAGAGTTGCTATCTGCTCAGTTAATACCCAAGATAAACTTGTATATCAAACTGTCCTTCAGCATGGTTTACTTTTCTTCTGAGATTTCCATGACAGATGTATATGAAAATACGCCAACTGCAAATATCTCAGCGGTGGCAACAGTAAGGTGTCAGGCCATGATGTCATAAATCTTCAGAGCCCCACAATAAGCAAAACCATTTTCCTGTCATAACACAAAGCATCCTTGAATCCTGTCCTCACCCAAGCAAAGAGCAGATATGTGGCTTGACACACTGGATCTGTGTTGTTGCTGTATTTGTTCAGGTTAAGCAATGTCTGGCCCGACTGACTTGTAACAGCAGTCACCTCTGAGAGCCGGGTCCCCCCTCAGTTGTCCAACCACGGACACTGTTCTACCAAGATTGTCAAACACAAGAAGACTTAACAATTCCAATGAGTCTATAACTGTATTGTGCTGAAGTGATGCTACACCTGAACACAAGGGACATGTCAGGTCCTCACCGTGGTGGTGAGAACGTGCATCCTGCCATGACGCCTTTCTCCGGTCACTGCCAGGCTGTAGTATATTCTGCTGTTGTGAAACATATCTGGATATCCTGAAAATATTCTCTCACTAGCTCTTTAACTAAGTCTGGTACCTTATAATAAGCTAGTGCTTCCCACAGTAGGCTATGTGGTACAGGACCAAAGGCATTAGCTGCATGTAAGAGCACTACATGGAAAACAAATCAAATCGTTTCCCCCTCTTTGCTGACGGAATTTAATGCCAGATCATGCTTGTGTGTGCCAAGCATCCAGAAAAACCTGGTATTCCGGCTTTCTGAGCTGAGATGTCAATAAGCTTATTCTTTTCTTCCAAATCTGTAAATGTGTCAGTGCCAGCAGGCTAATTTTAAACCACAGACATTTGGTGATGTTTTGAAACCAGTGAATTGAATTGAATGGGCAAACAAATGAAATGAATAATAATAAAAGAGCAAAGAGCAAATAGCCACTATTTTTGGTGACTATAGTAAAAACAGTTCTTAGGAGTGGCATTGACCTGTGAGAATTTAATGTTATGTCCTCAGTATTTCTGCTGTAATGTTATAGACCACACACAGCTTCAGCTACAGCGTGTAAATTTCCACCACACCACATGACGTCTTACCTATTGAATAGCTCACAACATGTTTGGTTTTTTACATGTTGATACTTGTGAGTCATACACACCAAGTGGGAGCAATAGGCTGCGAAATGAGTTTCTTTCAATCCCACAAACACAGGTAGACCTCAAGACAGCCACTCCCAGGTGAGCAGAAATCAGGAAGGAGATAAAGGTTTCGGAATATTTATGCAACATGAAACCACAAGTGCATTGAGTGTGACAAGGTTGATTTTAAAGAGTTGGCAGTAGAACTGAAAAAGCGCAGGGGTAAGTGTTGCTGCCTTAAGTCAAAATTTGAATCAGAAAATGGTGAATTTTAAATTTGATCATAAATGTTTTTTAACACCTAGGAAACTCTGGAACATATCCATTATCCTCCTGTGTAACAATAATGAAGTGGGAACCTTTTCACATATTATGTGGGTAGCTCAGAGATGTGAAATCTTTTTGGGTTGCACCTATGCTGTCTGATACCTAGTGTTTTACTTGTCTCTATTTCAAAGGGTAAAAGTAGCCTGACACGTTGGAAAGTCATTTAAAAAAGCATCAGTCTGTCGATATTGCTAGACGAATCCAACATGTCTTTGGTTTTACAAACAGGCTATAATAGAAAAGAAAACAAACGCACTTGAGAGCGAGGTGACTTGGACACTGGGATTTCGGAGCTTTGCAGGAGCTATTGAACGTGTCGTGCGCAGATGCTGTGCCGGTACCAGCTCCTGGTTTATGTCAGTAAAGCAGCCTTCTGCTATGATATTGTTTGGCTCAAGGTGTATGAAGTGTGAAGATACGGTAGGTGAAACTGACAGCAACGTGATTCAGGCTTTAGCCCAGTGTACATGTTCCCCTCTTAAATTTTTTTTTACAATTTAAGATGATATTTAAGAGCAGCTCTGACTGTAGCACACACATTTGGGAAATGTGTGTTGTGGTACTTCTCTAAATGGTTCATACTGTGTAGCTCACAGTAAACATTTGTTTTAAACTGATTTGTTACGATTATTGTACTTTCTATGAAGGATTGGACGTTTTGTGAAAATTATTTCCAGTAAAAATAACCTTTTGCAACTTCCACCACTTGGTCTTCTTTTCTGTCTTTCCTCTCCTCTTCTTCCTGACCACCACAGTCATCCTAATCGCTGAGCAGTTCTAATTGTGTATCTGCTATAAACTGGATGAAAACTATGAAATATGTATACTCGTTCATCTTAACATAAAATTAGTTCATGTTTGCACAAAATCTTTTTAAAGGGTGGGCTACATGAAAATTAAAAGCCTAACAATATAAGACAAACACTGACATTTCACTTTTAATAGACTTTATTGTTCTCAGTGCTTTTCAGTTGTGTGCGCTCATAAACACACTGTACTGAAGCTGGTGTGAGATATAGTAGTGGTCAGAAACAGATTTGAAGAGATGTGTTATTTGGCTTTATCGCAAGCTTGGCACTATTGTCTACTGTATGTACATTAGACTTGCATAAGACACCGTGCACGCAGTAGCTGGACTCAGTACTGACGTCAGACCCCTGCTTGAAAATGTTTTCTTATCTTACTAAAGTAAACAACCTGATTACCTATTTCACCACTGATAATGATTGTTGCTTGTTCATTGGGAGCTCCTAGGTAAAAGTAATGCAGTCTAATACAACAGTCCTGTATTTCTGTAATTTCTATTTCTGTTTGTTTTTCTAAACCGTACTGAGGCTTGAGTAAATAATAGAAACACTTCTCCGTGTAACACAGTTCAACAGCAGCACAAAGTACAATCACCCGAATGATCCTCGACACCTCTGAAACAGTTTCAACAGAAAGTGAACGGGATAACACTGTTAGCTTTAGCCTGGGCTACTTGATAAACTGCCACCTGAGTGTGTGTAGGAAATTAAATATAAGTGAGTTCTTGTACAGGTCAGAGTCACAATTTGCCCACAGTAGATTGAGATAAGTTCAGTGACTCAAGATTCAAGATTTTTATTTGCCATTTATGCATAAAGAGACAGTCTAGGCATATAGGAATTCTTGTGCAGCTCTCCTTTGGAGTCAGGTAAGGAGTCAAAGCCAGAAAGAACACTTAGTCTTAAAATAAAAAAAGTTACATAAGGGCGACAAAGTATTAAAACACAATACACAAAAATAGGCCTGGCAAGAACAGAGCATGTGATTATACAGTTACAACAGTTCGTTAATTCTTGGATTCAGTTTTTCGTTCATTTTCTTCCAACCTTTGCCATTTCCACTCACTCTTCTCTCATTCCAGATCCAGCCGCTCCGACCTGTCCTCACCTGATTCCTCCACCTGTTCACCTGTTCCCCATCCCCTCATCAGCCCCTGAGCGCCTCTGCCTGTCCTCTGCCAGGTTGTCTTCTGAGCCATGTCAGCTCTCAGTCCTGGTTTTGACCTCTGACCTCTTGCTGTGTTCACCTGTTGCCAACCTGTGCCTGCCAGTTGACTCTAGCCCTCCCTCAGTCTCCCTGTCTGCTTGTCTGAGAGTTTAACTTACATTGACACCAGATGTATTTTATGTTTTTACTATCAACAAATCCTATGAAAAGACATTTTATCTCAGTATATGACTGGCAACTGGCTCAAATTAAGAATAAATACTGTATTTCCATACAACGTTGCCTCTTTTCTCATAATCAGTTGACTAAACACCAATACCCATCCTCTGTTGTTAACGCACTTTTAGTGTCTGTCTCATTATGTGAGATATATAATGTGTGTGTGTGTGTGTGTCAGTGTCAGACAAAGTGCAGACAATGGTGAAACAGCTTGAGAAACATCCTGGAAAATAAAAAAACAAGTATTAAAGTATTTGGGGAAATTATTTTGCTTCTCCTGTTAGTGCACCATTGGCAAGTGATGGTTCTAATTTAACACTTGTTCTCCTTGTGTTGCTCTAACAGGCAGGATGGAGGTGTGTATGATGAAACCAGAAGTCAAAAAGAAACCCAAACATGTGAGAGGATTTCTATATAACACAGGAAACACTAATGCACAACACGGTCTGAATACTCTCCACTGATATTCTGTATGATACAGTATATGCTATCACATTTACTGTTTTGCTGACGTGTCTGTGAGGTGACATGTTTTAAAATATGACTTCAGGATTTTATAGAAAGGTTGTAAATAAGTCATTCTGAAATGATCATTGCAGATAACAAGAAATGACCAAGAGAGCCAGGACAAACGAGCTCCCTTGGTGCCTCCTCGACCTACAGACGCGGTGAGTCCAGCATTAACAGTCTAGTTGTGTGTGATCCGCATACACAGAACGTCACATGTGACTAGCCAGACTTCTGTTTTGTGTCCAGGAACTTGCTTACACACAATACCACATGAAAAGGGCTGCAACATCAAATGATAAGGTATATATTTTTAAATGTGTTTCTATTTCTATTGCTATTATTTATTTTTCATTAAATAGCTGCTGTTATAGCGAAACAGAGACACATGCAAGTTGAGAAAGGGTTGGCCCTGCACGTGAGAAGACACACATTTTAATGTGTTAACATCTCAGAAAGATAAAAATTGTTAACTTCATCAGATACTGTGTTTCCAGTAAGGTTTACCAGTCTTTAAGGTCATCAATTGTTTTTTTTTTCCAGGATGAGTCTCATGACAGTGAACTCTCAACCATCAGCGAGAATTTATCTGCGAACAAACAGGTTACCGAGTTTAAATGCAAGATGCCTAATGGTTTTTCATCCAAGTTACAGTTTGATGTGTGAGTACTTGTCATCCTAAGTCTTTTTCTTCTGTGAATCCATCAGGAGAAAGGTGGAGGGTTCTTCAGTGGACTCCTTAAAAAGACTCCCAGGACACCTGGTGAAAGCACAGAGTCACAGGTAAGTGGCTGTTCAGAGAGTTTGTGTATCTGCACACAATCTCAGCCATTTCATACAACATCACTGTCTCTGCCTCAGGACAAGGAGGCTCAGAAAGAGTTGTCAGCCAGCTGTGACATCCTGTTAGAGCGGAACACGCCCAAGGTGAGTAGTGAACTGCAACAGAGGGAAAGTTCACTGTCAACGAGCTACTGTATTTAGGAGAAACATATTTCCAGGAAGCTGTTTACGCCTCCTCAGAAACCAGGAGAGTGTACTGCAGCAGACAATGTGCTTTCAGTTAGATGTTATTAAAATCTGCTTGCATGGAGGACAGAGGTGACTTTAGAAGAAGGATGTGATCAGTGAGAGTCCATCATGTGGTTGCTGCAACAATCTGACTGACACGCACACAAAAAAGCTCTTCTCCATCTTTTTTGGTCTCACAGTGGCTGTTTTCATCATGTTTACATGAACAGCAACATCATTGAAGCTCAACTTGAATGAAATTAGTTGAATTTTTTTTAAAACAACATTACAACTTCCTTAATAAAACCCCAAAATAATACAGAAATGAAGAAAAAAAATACAGCAAATACTAAGTAAAGCGCAGGACACTAAATCTGATTAAACTAAAAATATCTACTTGCTTTTTAGATGCTTTGTTTTGAGCATATGAGCTGAGAAAAATAACAAAAGTTTGTGTTCTAGGTGAAAAAAGGAGGCCTGGTTGGCAAATTAAGAAGATCAGCCAGCTCCGACGACTTGTTTGACGAGGTCAGTTTGTGTTTCTTTCATGTAGCTTTGCATCTGTGTCCTTCAACATAAATAACAAACCTTCTGACAAACCTTCAGCAGCACCTTCCCCCCAGGTTTTCTATTGTAATTACACTGGCTGCCTCCAAAGACTGATTGTATGTTGTGGTATTGTTGTCTGTTTTATGATCTGTTGTGTGTTTTTAGGATTCAAATCCAGATGAGGATAAGAAATTATCTGGCAGTTGGGAAAATCTGTTGGAAGCAGCCACATCAAAGGTACAAATGTTGTCTGACGATGATGATCTCGGATGGTTTCACTCTTTTCTGCCTTTGATTATCGACCGATAATGTGTGAATGTGTCTGTGTTTCAGGAGAAGACAGGTCGACTTTTAGGGATCTTCAAAAAGTCTCCTAAACCAGCTCCACGCTCCATCACAACCACGGTGATGTGTACAGTTCGTGGTCATGTAGATGTCTGTGAAAGCTCTCTTTTACATTTTTAAGCTAACATTATGGTCAAATTCTTCAGAAATAACCAAACTTGGTTGCTTACTAAATGTTAAAGTTGGCTTTTGTTCTCCAGCATCCCCTGAGCGGCACAAAGGAGCTGTCAGACAGCTGGGACAGCCTCGCCGACACTGCAGAGGTGAGTGCGACTGAAACTCTGTGGATGCAGTTGCCAGTGTACTTTCATGAGAATATTTTTAC